GGGGTATTTATAGTTTTTGAAAGGGGGTTAATTAAAAAAAAAAAAAACCAAAATTAGGCAAACTGTGCAATTCAGCCGTTGGGCAACGACCATTTTCTGAAATGGACCGTCGCCAACGGTCAGATCTGGGCCCATTTAAAAAAAAAATTAAAAAATAATTTTTTTTACCGTTAAACCGGTCTGGGCCGGGCCAGTTAACCGGTTTCAAATCACTGTTCATCTACCGGGTTATACTGGTCCGGGTAACCGGTATAATTAATGTGAACGGTGCAACCCGCGAAATACCCTTAACCCAGCCCAACCCAGCCCCCTTCTACCGGTCCAGACCGATTCCGATTTTAACCGGTCTGGGCCGGTCCGGAACCGGCTGACCCGGCCCATTTAACACCCTTATGTAGGCGCCATAAAATATCGGGCAAGCCCACATTAACACCTTCAATAACGGCTGCTCAACTTTATGGCAACTACCTCATCCTAGAATTTTTTTGGCACGGATTTAATCGAACCCTAATACAACAACAATAATAATAACCAGTAAAATTTTACAAGTGGGGTCTGGAGGTAGTGTGTACGCAAACCTTACTCCTACTCCGAAAGAGTAGAGAGGCTGTTTCCGATAGCGGTTCAAGAAGAAAAAAAAAGACAGTGGAGCAGTATCAGCAACGGAAGCCATAAAGATAATACCAGCAACGTAATAACCAGAAATAGAGAGAAAAACAATAACAATAAGCAGTAATGATGTCACAGTACTATAGACACAATGGAGACATAAGGACGTAACAAGGACCACTTGCAGCCTAGGACACAACCACTATCAGACTAGCCTCCTACCACCTTACCTGCAACCGTAATGAAGTAATATGGACACAACTAGAACCACTATCAGCCTAGCCTCATACCACCTGACCTGCAACCCTGATGCTCGACCTCCACAACTTCCTATTAGGGGCCATGTCCTCGGAAATCTGCAGCCACACCATGTCCTACCCGATCACCTCTTCCCAATACTTCTTACGCCGCCATCTACCTTTTCTCATACCCGTCAAGGCCAGCCGTTCACACCTCCTTATCGGGGCATCAAGGCTTCTCTCTACAAGTGCCCGAACCATCTAAGCCTAACTTCTCGCATCTTGTCTTCCATGAGAGCGACACCACCTTCACCCGAATATCTTCATTCCTAATCTTATCTAGATATAAATGTCGATGAGAACTACCTCACCCTCGGCTTCATTAAAATCTGTTCATAGTTGGTACTTATATTAAGTTATATATCTTTTTATTTTAATTTATGTAAATCTATTTTTTCAATCGTTTTAAAAAGAATGAGTATTTTCAAATTTGAAATAATACAATTTATTTCTTTATTTTACCTTTATTATTCAGAAATTAATATAATCACAAAAATATTATTATATGTTTAAATAAGTTCACGTAAATTAAAAGGAGTAATTTAACTGTTAAAAGATAAATATTTCTGGGTCCCTCGGTACTTTAGACTTTTAAGCGCCAAGTTTACGTTCTTATTTCACTTTCCTCGTTGCCACATAAGGAAAGAGACCAGAAAAAGTCTTTTCTTCATCGTTGTACTACTACTATTAGCGTGTCTGCAATTTTTATTACTATTTTGTATTATTAGTGTGAACAAAAAATATTTTCAAGACTTGATTTAGAATAATATCAAGACTCTATGACTTAGATCCATTATCTTTCCCATTTCACTTCTTGGGAATTGTTCTTACTATAGTACCAAGCCAACAATAATTTCACCTGCTTTTGTTTCTGCTATTTTGAGGTACTTCTCAAATCTTTGTTCTTTGCTGGTTCTTAGTCATTTTCTGTTTTTTCTACTTTCTTATTGTTTATTTTTGTGTGTTTTCATGATCTTGAGATTCAAGAATCCAATCTTAAATAAATTGGTTTTGTCAAAGTTTCAATCTTTTTAAGAATCCCTCTAAATATTTGACTCTGTAGTTGAATCTTGGTTGCTAATTTTTACCTCTACTTCTTGTTCTTCTTCCCTTTGTCTTTTTTGAATTTTCTGGGGTTTAATTTGAAGCAAGTTTTGAGTTAAGATATTAAGTTGATACAGCTCAATTAGATAAACAATTATAATATGTGCTAAATTTCTGTATTTTGTATATGCTCTTTTATTTTATTTTTTTCTCAAACAAGCTAATTATTTGATATGAGTGCGGCGGCGCCAAGATTTGAAGTTTATGAGTTCTCAATATTAGAAATGAGCGAAGACCAATAATAAGCTCCAACAGAAGGAGCTGTATTTTTGGCTCAGAAATTGTTTCATTATGCTTCATTGTTTTTTCTCCTTTTCCTTTGAGTTACCATAGGAGGGGAACCGTGGCGTAACTGGTAAAGTTGCTGCCATGTGACCAGGAGGTCACGGGTTCGAGCTGTGGAAACAGCCTCTTGCAGAAATACAGGGTAAGACTGCGTACAATAGACCCTTGTGATTCGGCCTTTCCCCGGACCCGCGCATAGCGGGAGCTTAGTGCACCCGATTGCCCTTTGAGTTACCATCTGATTGGAACTTAAACATGATGCTTTGCTGCCAGTATCCATGCTTAGGTGCATTTGCTTTAGCCTTGTCTGCTTCCATGTTAGAATAATCCTACGTCGGTTATAGGATGGGGTAATTGGTGTCCTTATATAGTCTTGAGCAATCCTCACGTCATGAGCTAGCTTTTGAGGTTGATTTAGGCTCAAAGTCCATTTCTTGAACATTCCACGCCCTGTGAAGTTGATAAATTGAGTTGAAATCCTTTTGCTTGGATCGATGAAGGAAGAACAAAGAAAAGATCCTAGCTTTAGAGGAAGTAGAGATTGAGGATAGTTTGACATAAGGATGCATCCATTGTCACGAGTGAGGCGCAGCTCGCTATAGTTTGTTGCTGTTGGTTTGAGCTGCCCGACTTCTTTTAGGCATGACGTACCCTCTTATACCTACATTAACCGTGATTTTTTAATGCTATCCTTTTTATATCGTAGTGCATTTCCAATAAACTATGATTTGCCAATTATCGAGCAGTGAAACTGAGACTTTTCTTTAATTTTGCAGGCTCTTATTTTGGTTTTGGTTTCTGCTGAAGCAGCTTTTGAGTGATATCATATACAGAAGGTCACTGTTGCATCCTAAAGTTATGACTTGCTTCCCTTCTTTATTCTGTCGAAAACGCCATTCATCAACTAGGCATCCATCCGAATTTGATGATGGTAAGCACTATTGGTCCGCCATTCAACATTCTTTTATCTTTTCCTATACTACATATAATTGTTCTGTATGTCGAAAAGATTCTAATATGTTGATTCACAACAGAGCTCTCTGGCGTCAAGAATGTTATTCTTTTCTCCTATAAAGAGTTAAGAATTGCCACTGATGATTTTAGTCCTGTCAATAAAATTGGAGAGGGTGGATTTGGTTCTGTTTATAAGGTAATGGCGATGTTTTCCCTTCTATTACTGATATGAATTGGTGGATTAAATAGTATGTCTTTAAGAAGTCTTATACCTTTTTCTTTACTATACGAATGGTATGAACAGGGAAGGCTAAGAAATGGAAAGATGGCTGCTATAAAGGTTCTTTCTAGTGAATCAAAGCAAGGTGTAAAGGAGTTCTTGACAGAAATTAAAGTGATTTCAGACGTTGAGCATGAAAATTTAGTCAAACTCTATGGCTGTTGTATAGAAGATGATCATAGGATATTGATCTACAACTATCTTGAGAATAACAGCCTTGCTCAAACACTTCTTGGTAAGTTTTTATTTATTTATTTGGGATTTTCAGCAAATTTTTAGATGTTACACAGAGTGTTTTAGACCTTATTTGAGTTAGTTTATCTTCCTTAATTTGCATAACTAAATTTGAGTTAGTGTTTAAGCAGGAGTGTGTGTGTGTGTTTTTGGGGGTGGGGGTGGAGTGTTTACCAAGCTAACCTTTTGAGACAAGACGTTTGAAGTTTTAGTTCAATAAAAGTTAAAAGGTCGAGAAGACTAAGGAGTGTTCTGTAATTCACATGATTCAACACGAAGTTGATGCAAAACATCGACTTGAACAACCAATGTGGTGTGAGACAAAATGAGTGAAATGATTCTGTCCTCCTTGCTAGATTAAGCTGTGGAGATCCTGCAGTCTATCGGTACTGAATCTTGAAGAACTCCAACGCGTTGTTTCTTGCTCCTTGTGATTGCTATATTTTCAGTCTTGATAACATCCCCTTGGGGTGCGGCCCTTCCCCGGACCCTGCGTGGTCGTGGGATGCTTTTGCACCGGCCTGCCCTTTTTTTGATAACTATATACAGATTCCTAATGTGTTTTCTCTGAGGCTAATTTCCAATTCCTATCAACTTTAGATTAAGTTAGATGCCCAATATTGTTTCCACTTCTATGTTTTACACAGTTCTGTCTTTAAATTCTCAAATCTAATTCTTCTAGTATTTTGCTTACAGGTGGAGGGCACAGTAGCATCCAGTTCAGTTGGCGAACACGTACTAAAATTTGCATTGGAGTTGCAAAGGGGCTAGCTTATCTTCATGAGCAAGTGAAGCCACATATAATTCATCGTGATATCAAAGCGAGTAATATTCTCCTTGATAAAGACTTGACACCCAGGATTTCAGATTTTGGCCTGGCAAAGCTCATCCCTCCTAACATGACTCATGTTAGTACACGCGTGGCCGGAACCATGTAAGAATCCTATCTTCAAACTTTGCTGATGTCTCTTCTTACCGTGCTGTTGTCAAGTTCCATCTCGAGTCTGTGCTTAAAAGCATGCCAATAGTAGATTTTTTGAGATCATGGCTGATATAGTATCATGCACTAAAATCCACGTCTTTTGTCCAGAGGTTATTTGGCACCAGAGTATGCAATTAGAGGCCAAGCGACTCGTAAATCAGATGTTTACAGTTATGGTGTTCTTCTGATAGAAATCGTCACTGGAAGATGCAACACAAATACACGTTTACCAGTTGACGAACAATATCTCCTTGAAAGGGTATGACTTTTCAAACCATACACATTCAGTTTAAGGATTGCGTGATTGCTGCATGTTGAGTAGATCACACATAAAAAGTGAAATTGATGCGCCGTAATTCATGAGTTCACGATCTTTAGAGCAATTCTTTTGGAAGAATATGAAATTTTCATGTAAAGGGCAGCCCGGTGCACTAAGCTCCTGCTATGCGCGGGGTCCGGGGAAGGGCTGGACCACAAGGGTCTATTGTACGCAGCCTTTCGCTACATTTCTGCAAGAGGCTATTTCCACGGCTCAAACTCGTGACCTCCTGGTCACATGGCAGCAACTTTATCAGTATCGCCAAGGTTCCCCTTCAATATGAAATTTTCATGTGACAATGAAATATGAATCACTGAAAGATCAATATAACAAAACATTACCAATCGAGGAACAATATTGTGTCAATGAACTGTCACGCTTTAAATGATATTCTGAAAGCTATGGTTGATTGTTTTCGTGTATGTTACAGACATGGCAACTCTATGAAAGAAAGGAGCTGATATTGCTCGTAGACACGTCACTGGACGGGGACTTTGATGCTGAACAGGCCTGCAGGTTCTTGAAAATTGGGCTTCTCTGCACTCAAGATGCGTTAAAGCTTCGCCCATCCATGTCGACTATTCTCAAGATGCTAACCGGCCAGATGGAGGTCGATGACAATAAGATAACAAAACCAGGCTTGATCTCTGATTTCATGGATCTCAAGGTTAAAAATGCTCCTAAACCTCGCCCTGAACAAATTAACGCAGCATATGATTATGTGTTATCTTCAGGATCTCAATATTTAGACAATTCAACCATTCCATCGACGAGTTCTTCTCAAGCCACCACGACGTTCACAACTGTTGCATATGATCAAAGCATTTGAGCAAATATATTCTGCGAGGGAGGAAAATAGTTTTGTATTTGGTTGAACATTACTTTCAACTTTTCTTTTTTTTATTCTTTTCATTTTCTATCTGGAGTTGGTTTTTTTGGTATCTTGAGTTGATCAGCATCTGTAAATCGTTTACATGTTTTATGTAGTTGTTAGAAATAGTGTATGTTGTAAATTTGAGGTTTTGAATTCAAGAAATGTAATTCATTATAGCTTGAACTTGGTATACATTTATGTGTATATTTCTGCATCTCAAGGGGTGATTGATTGTCCAAAATTAAAGCAACATTATGCTTAAAATATAAGAAATCTTTTCGAATAAACTTTTTAATAGATCGTTACAGCTTGTTTGGATGGTTGTTACCTATTGTATCGCATCGTATCGTATCGTATTGTTACTTTAAATACATTGTTTGTTTTGATTGTGTCGTATCGTTACGTAACGTCAGATTTGGTGTGGTGGCGTCATTACGTTGTTTTTTTCTTTCAAGTTGCCCTTCCTTGTTATTAAATAATCATATTCTATCATTTACCCTACTCTTTTATATAATAATTCTACTCTGTATCCTTTTTTTAATAGTAATATTGCGAGTTTATTCTTTATATTGTTGGTGCATGACATCATGAAACGACAACAAATGATACAATATCCAAACATTGCGTTCATCAAACAATATAGTACAATATATATAAAAAAACTTTATATATCATTCAAAGCAACCTTCAGGGTACATCTTCACCATTGATTAACATCTCGACAAACTTTATAAAAAAATAAAAAAAAAGCCTACAACTAGTCTTACAAAATTAATAAAGCCAGATTATAAAAAAGAAAAAATAGGAAAATTCTTCCCTAAGCTAATAACAGGCTTAAATTGCAAGTAGCTTTATTTAATGGTCTGTGTGATAGGTCGATACTTGTCGAATTCAAAAAATTCAAGTTGTCCATCACTACTAAATATTGAGGAAACTAGTGACCTAAAAATAAAACGCTAAACGATATTAAACCTCTTCATCCTAACGTTCTACTGTAAATTATTGCCTAATAAACAACATTTGCAACACTAACGCCAAAAAAAAAAAAAAAAGGCTCAGGTATCACTATGACAATACAAAATTAACCACATTATAACTATAATAACAAAAATAATAAAGTTTCGCTGGCTGATAAATGATTAAAAATGCATGTTTTTTAGTATCTTTGCATATTATTTCTTATGTGAGTTGCGGGAGATTACATGTTTATAAACATATAATATGCTCATTTCATGTTTACTCTATGTAGGAATGAATTTGGATGAAAGTAGGGGTGTGCATTCGATTTATCGATTCGATTTTGACCCTTATCGATAATTACTTATCGATTATCGATTTGTATATATGCTTATCGTTATCGTTTCAATAAGATTTCGATTTTTTCGATTTCGATTTATCGATTTTGGGGGCTTATCGATTCGGTTATCGATTACACCAATAAAAAAAATTGCGAGATTCCACGGAAAGTATATCGCTATAAACGCGCCTAACTAATATGGACAAAGAAGAAGCTAAAATAAGACGAATACCATTTACAATATAAAAATTGCGTCAACAAGAACATGCAACAAAACTAAAGTAAGGGATCAAATGTATGCCACCAACACTCCAACGGTATAAAAAAATAAAACAAAACAAAACACATCATCACGGCTAATTCTGTTTTCCATTAATTTGAACTTTATTCCCTTGATCTTTAAATATGATCATTCCTTAAATGTGGTAGAGGAAATAATAGGGTAAGGGACTTAGGGTAAAGGAAAGGGTATAGATTAGGGAAAATAATATTGTATAGCCGCTTTCAAAATAGTAGCGGAATATATATACATTATGTATGTTATATTAATCTACACAAATAGGTAATTACTCATTTAACAAGTGTCTACAGTCTAGGGGTGTGCATTCGATTTATCGATTCGATTTTGACCCTTATCGATAATTACTTATCGATTATCGATTTGTACATATGCTTATCGTTATCGTTTCAGTAAGGTTTCGATTTTTTCGATTTCGATTTCGATAACAAATAATCGATTCGATTTATCGATAAACCGATTCGAATGCACACCCCTAGATGAAAGTTGGCAAGAATGGGGTGATTTGATGCAAAAAGCGTAGAGATTCAAGACCTGGAAGCGTGCCACAATTGGTGCATTGCATGAAGGTAGGCGCGAAATGGCCTAGGAGATGAACAAAAAACAGCGAAGTATGGATGTTGGCACTAGACCTGGCACGTGAAAGAACAAAGAAGAAAAAAAAAAGTTAACTGGGAGCGTGCCAGAAGTTGCGCGTTGCATCAACTCTGGCACGCGACTCAGCATGTCCTTTTTGAATTAGGAGAGCTCAAGGACGCCCCACATCAACCCTAATTGATATAAATACATCATAAAACGTCCTTTTGAGGGGGAGACACAACTTTAGGGTAAGACAACACCCAAGGAGGCGAGAACACGCAAGGAGCAAGGAGGAAGATTCAACCACGAGTTTTTCCCCTTCTTCTTCCTATTTTTATTGTTGGTTATGAATTTGAGTATTGTGTTTTCACATACTTTTATGAATAGCTAATTTATTATTTAGAGTTTTGATGAAACCTCTTGGAAGATGAATTCTTGTTATGTTTTAATATAATTCAACCTTTGGATTTATCTACTTGTTCAACTACGTGCTTATTTCAGTTGGTTGAATCGCCATCGATTGACTGTGCCTATTTATTATGTGTTGCTTGAGAAAGGATACAGTTGTTGAACAACGTCACTCCTAAGGTATATGAGAAATCAATACGGCTAGTTTAAAAGCGGGATTAGAGATAACGAAGCTTTGACGTGATCTTAGTGAGCGATGAAAAAGTGCGAGCTAGCGTAGTTCGAGAGAATATGACTAGTACATTAGTGTAGTTGCTCGAGAGAGAATTACGATAAGTCGAGTGCTCATGATCAATAGAGAATACTTAGGCGAAATTGTAGGAGACGCAGCGGGAAGGATTCTGACAATTGGGAAAATCATAACTCTAGGCCTTCTGTATCTTGTCTCCAACCCTTAGTATCTTTAGTTGCTAATTTACTATTTTAATTTGTTAGTTAAATAGTTAGATTGAAGAATCTTAAATTTATAACTTAGGAATTGTTCGAGATTGGCTTATTGGTGATATTGAACATGTATAGCAAAACCTTAGTTCTCTGTGGGATTCGACTCCGGACTTTTAGACTGGATTATATTTGCAGCGGCCGCTTATCCTTTTTAGGACTAGAGTTGGGCGTGATCAAATTTTGACGCTGTTGCCGGGGAACTAACGGTGTAGCTGTAGCTATATATATTGATAGGTTTCAAGTTTGGACTTTTATTTTCGTTTTCTTGTATTTGATTTTTTCTTTGCTACTTGTTGATTTTAAAAATATGGCATCTTGGAATTATGAGAGTTTTGATGTTGGTAATTCTACTTTGAATCCTCCTTATGCATATTATGGAGGAGACCACCCATGGAAAAATTATCAAAATATTCCCGAGAGCGAGTTATGTGCACCAACTCAATCTCATGTGTGGAATGTGTGTAATATGTGTGGTGGTCAAGAAGGTCACTTTCATGGTTGTGCTTATATTTTTTATCATCCCCCAACCCCTTACTATGATGGTTCTACTTTTTCTTGTGAAGTTAATAGGAACAAAGAACCCAGTGATGATGACATGAAAGAGATCAAGGATATTCTAAGGTGCCTTGTGGAACAAAATAATGAGAAACAACTGCACATACAAAGGCAAGATGCTACTATTCGCAACCTGGAGGCACAAGTGAGTCAACTAGTTGAAGCATTTAATGCTCAACAAACCAATATTGTGAATAGTAGCCAAGAAGAGCATGAATTAGATACCGAAATTGAGGTTCTAATGGAGGAGGTCGGAGTAGAACACCAACAATCTAATCAACTAGAATTTGAGGAAGCCGATATTGAAGAAGCAATACTAGAGTCAACCAGGGACGTTGAGGATATAAATTTAGTTGACTCTAGTGTGATTGGTGTTGAAGAGGTAAAAAATCTTGAAGTTCATGTATTTGAGCGCGTTGGACCTCATTCCAAACACTTCTCTACATTATGTTCGGATGGTGAAAGGGGAATGGATCCTTACGAACATAAAAAGAGTCCAATGAAGAGGTAGACGAGCCTTATATTTTAAGATTTTCAAGGTCGTTTAGGCAAGGTGACACTCCTCGGTCGAGAGCCAAAAAGTGCATAAGACTTTATCTAATTTTTGGCTCGCAAAAATTTGCACCGCCCCAAGAACATAATCATAACTTGAAGCAAAACTTGGGGTTCAATTCATAAGCTCGTGGTGGAGACAAAAAGTAATTCGCATCGTGCCACGACGTTAAATCAAGCGCATGTTGTGAGGCAGCCCATCTTATTGCTTTCTTTTATTTGTAGTTTTTTTAATTTAATTTTTTTTATTGTATCATTTTTGTAGTGTCGTTTCTGGTTTTCTAGGAGCACAGGAAGCAAAGCCATTGGAAGGAAGCAAAATCAAGCGATATGGTTAGAACAAAGTGTGGGGTGCCCGCACAAAGAACCAAGTCTGAGAGAAGTTTGAGTACACCATGAGCTGCTAATGCTTCGGCCTTTGGCCTACCAGGGAGTTTCTTTTATCCTCTTGTATTTATGGGTGTGCATTGGGGACAATGCAGAATTTTAAGTGTGGGGTGAAGAGACTGTTTGAGTGATTTCCTATGCTATTTTATTTGTATTATTTTATTTGTGTTGAAAAAAATAAAAAAAAATTATTTTTAAATGATCCCTCTTGGTTTTTCTTATGGCCACGGTTCTTTTCCAAGAGGTGACTCTAGGGGTGTGCATTCGATTTATCGATTCGATTTTGATCCTTATCGATAATTACTTATCGATTATCGATTTGTACATATGCTTATCGTTATCGTTTCAATAAGGTTTCAATTTTTTCGATTTCGATTTATCGATTTTTGGGGCTTATCGATTCGGTTATCGATTGCACCAATAAGAAAATTTGCGGGATTCCACGAAAAGTATATCGCTATAAACACGCCTAACTAATATGGACAAAAAGAAGCTAAAATAAGACGAACACCGTTTATAATATAAAAATTGTGTCAACAAGCACATGCAACGAAACTAAAGTAAGGGATCAAATGTATGCCACCAACACTCCAACGGTATAAAAAAAAATACATCATCACGGCTAATTTGAACT